ACCAAATAGAAAAGATAGTAATAGTGAAAGATTCTACGTTGTTATAGGGTGTCAAGAAATTGATAAGGGTAAGAAGTTTTTTTTTTAAATAACCAAAACATATATAGTCATACTAACAAAAACATATTTTAAAATAATTTAACAAAGCTTATTTGATTTCGTAGTATTTACTGTTTTTTTCAAATAATTTTTCATACTCATAACATATATATTATACTAGATTTAGAAAATCCAAAAAAAAAAAAAAAAGTTTAAATAAAATCAATATCATAACAATAAAAATGCAATACAGATGGCATTAAAGATTCAAAGCTTTACTATAAAGATAACAGTCACGTGGTACAAACTACAAAAGGATAAACAAATTCTTGTAAACTAAACAATTTGTTTTTGTCTTTAACCTATGTTTGACTCATTTTTATAAGTTGTTTATAAACACCCAAGTCCATTGATTATTAGGTAACAAAAATAATGTTAATGGTTAAAAAATAAGAAAAAAGTTTTGGGTGTGATGAAAAATATTATTTTATTGAAAAATGTGTGTTTGAAAATGAGTTTTGAAAAAAAGTGGATCAAACAAGGTATTGTGTCACCATGACCACCAAATTTGATTTTATTTCAGTATGACCAACTGATTTCATATAACGTTTCAACATAATCACCCAACTTATTTTCACAATGTTCATTAATTTTAAAAGGGATAAAACAGTAACTTTGTATTATATATAAAATAAATTTTAAAAAAATAAAAACAAAAACTTATTTTAAAAAAAATTAAAACAGAATAAAAATTATTTTAAAATAAAAGTTTTTAAAANTTTATTTTTATATATAATACAAATTTATTGTTTTATCCCTTTTAAAATTAATGAAAATGGTGAAAAGAAATTGGATGACCATGGTGAAATGTTATATAAAATTGGATTGTCATGGTGAAATAAAATCAAGTTAAATACCTAAAATGACATTAAATATAAAGTTGGGTGACAATTATGAAACAAAATCAAATTGAGTGCTTGGATTTAACCCCAAAAATTTATGCTAATAGCCAACGGGAATTATTATTATTATTATTATTTTTTAACATAAGGAGATTGTCATAAACATGGGGAAGTTTCTGCAATTTTAATTAGAGCTTGTTTGGAAGTGATTAAAATTAGATTAAAATTGAAAATATAACTGTTAAAGTTGACTTTTATTAGATAAGTGGGACCCAATAACGACTATATTTTCAATTTTAATTGAATTTTAATCCTTCCCCAACAACCACTCAAAAGACGACTGATTGCTGAGAGTACCATGACGTTATCGCTTACGCCAGCTATCCATATATTTTCTTCCGTGCACACGGGAAAGGGTGTAGCTTCAACTGTCTGGAAGAGGCACTGTTTACTTCGAAGATCGATAAGAAAGTTAGCAATGGCTGAACAATTTGAGATGCCGCGAGTGAAACTCGGGACCCAAGGACTTGAGGTATATGTTACAATTGCTTAATTCAGTTTCGTATTCGAATCAATTTGTAGACCCTATTTGAAAATTTTTTTCCGCTACCAAATGAATCGAGAGATCTATTTGATAGCCGATCACTTTTCCAATTAGTGGTGCTTATGGCATCCTGAATATAATCAATAGAATGGGTAACCTTTTCGTATAACAGTGAGGCGGAGCCAGCGACTGGACTACTTGGCTCCGTCCCTGATGTCAGTGAATTTTTGCTCAAAGTTTCGTACATATCTTTCTTGATACTGTATGTACTCTATTTTGTATTATTTGAAGCGAGTCTATACTCTATTTTGTTCGTGAAGCAATACATCTATTATTGAAATGTGTCATTTCAGTCCCTGATCTTTTTTTAAGCATAAATGGTTATTGAACTTACAATGTTTTTTCATTAAATTTTATCATTTTGTTGAGGTGTTTTGCTGTTTAGCTTATGTAACTGTTGGTCTTTTTATGATGGCATCTGTAAGCTAGAAAAACTGTTCCATGTGTGATTGCGGGAACTGTCATTTAAATGATTTAACTTTGCGGTTTAATCCTCAGTACTTTCCAGGTGGATACTAGTTTGGCTGTTTTTTGAGCTTTATACGACTTTGGTTTGCCATAACTTAGTCGGATACATGGTCAATGACTTAATTGAAACAACTTTGTAACTGCTTTGTCACTTTAAAAAGTTGGATAAGTAAAGTGACACATTCTGGAAGTTTGCCACCAACAGAGCTTTTAACCCCAACTTAATTAAGATATGAGAAATAGCATTGAGTAAGAAGGACAAAGAACATATAGAATTATTGCAGACTAATATTGTTAGTGCATTCTCACCCAATACAAAGCTTCAGCAAAATTGATTGGCAGATAATGCAATCATTCAATAGTTTTCTAAAATCTCATTGCTTCATCCAATGACATGTTTTTCCTCCTAGGTATCAAAGCTAGGTTATGGTTGTATGGGGCTTTCAGGTGTCTACAATAATCCTGTCCCTGAGGAGGATGGAATTGCAATAATCAAAGAGGCATTTAGTAAAGGCATTACACTTTTTGACACAGCAAATGTTTATGGTGCAAACCATGCCAACGAGTATTTGGTAGGGAAGGTATGTACTTTTTTGAGATACTTATTCTTGATTATTCTTTGTTCTCTTATTTATTTGGATTGAATGAAGGCAGCACATTTGAATATATATGCTGGCAAGGTACTTTTGCTTCTTTTGTTATTCACAGTTGATGTGAATAACAATAATGATAGTATAAGATGAAGCTCCATTTTCTTACATTTAAATCCACGATAATCAAAACATTAAGAGGAAATTTTGTGACAAAAAGAGAGAAAAATAAGGGACAGATTCATTTATTGACTATATCCATCAGCTTAAAACTTCTAGCAGTTATTTAATTAATTATTAAACTTATGAACTTGCTGAAGTTTTCCTTCAAAATTCGGGAATTATGGTTGATAAAAGTTCAACTATTGTATCTGTATGTTATACAAAGTTCGCAAAGGAAGACAATATTGAAAAGTTCGAATCTGTTAAGAAATTTCTCTTTGAAAAAATAATATAATTTGGTGTTTTGATGATTCTTGAAGATATGCTTACTTTGTCTTTTTCATCATGTACTTTTATTGGACGATTCCTAATTTGAAAATCATCAAATGTAACATGTGAGAATTTTGTGGTCACCCTTAAGTTACCTTGACTTAGGGAATTCAACTTTTGCAGGCATTAAAGCAATTACCTCGAGAAAAAGTTCAATTAGCTACGAAGTTTGGTAGAGCTGGATTTGATGCTTCTGGAGTTATAGTGAATGGTTCACCTGAATATGTCCGCTCTTGTTGTGAGGCTAGCCTGAAGTGTCTCGATGTGGACTATATCGATCTTTATTACATACATCGGATTGATCCTAACACGCCTATTGAATATACTGTAAGTTGTTTTATTCTTATTATTAGGTGTGGTATGTCCTTTTACGTTAGTGGCCATTAAACATGTTTTCACTAACAACATGGTCGCTCTTGTTGATATAACTGTTTTTGAATTTCAGATGGGAGAACTTAAAAATCTTGTCAATGAAGGTAAAATAAAATATATTGGATTGTCTGAAGCAAGTCCAGACACAATAAGGAGGGCTCATGCCGTTCATCCTATTACTGCTTTACAAATGGACTATTCCCTTTGGGTTCGTGATATCGAAGAAGAAATAATTCCACTTTGCAGGTTTTCCATATTTCTCAAATATTTCTGTTGTAACTTTTATTAAATATTACATTTAGCTAACATTTTTTCAAATTGCTATTTAGATAGGAACTTAAGAGCTGATGTTTGAATTTGAAATTAATTTTGCAAAACATAAATTACTTGCTGTCATTTATCTCCTAGGTTTAACATGTCATTGTCGAGCTCCTGTTTTCTGTTTTAATACTTCATGTTTTTGTATTTTTTCTTCCTGAACTCAATTTTTTATTATCAATGGGTTAAAACTACAGTCTTATTTAGTGTTTTGAACATTGTGCTTTTAATTAGAATAATACAAGTATTATCCTTCCTGTTTGAATATCATAGTCTCATATAGTGTTTTCTTTTTGGAAATGGATTATAGGGAACTTGGAATTGGAATAGTTCCATACAGTCCCTTAGGTCGAGGATTTTTTGCTGGGAAGGCCGTAGTGGAAAGCGTGGAAAATAGCTCATTGGTGTGTATGCGTCTATATCTTTTTATTTTTAATGCATAATAGCTTCTTTAGTATCCTTGATCATTTAGTAGTTTCTTCACTTTCTTATCTACTAGTTGTTAAAAAGTTGTGTAATTTTCATATCATCAGAAAGATCACCCAAGGCTTAAGGGAGAGAACTTTGATAAGAACAAAGTCTTATATTTCCGTATAGAAGCATTGGCTAAGAAGCATGGATGCACTCCTGCTCAACTTTCTCTGGCATGGGTTCTTCATCAAGGAGATGATGTTGTACCTATTCCAGGTAAGCCGATCATATAAGAAGCTTTTCTTTAAATACTACACTAGAAACAATGTTTGAGAGATTGGAAATGTAGAATATTAGGGTCCGTTTGATTGCAAGGGTGGAAAATGTGTGGAAATAAAATGTTTTACAGGGAATTGATTTTCTTAGAAAATGTTTTACTAGGAATTGTAATTAATTGTGTTTGATTTATATAATTTTTCATGGAAAATGTTAAAAATTTGGTGCCCATTTGACTTCGTTTTTTATAAAATTTGTCCATTAAAACGATAATTTTTTCTATTATTGAGTCTAAATTTGTTCACATTGTCAAAAAAAAAATTTGAAAAAAAAAATTTGCCATACCGATTATCATTCGTTTGACTTTATTTTGTATGAAAGTCGTCGATAAAAGTGAATTTTTTTTTTTACCATTGTGTCTAGAATTTATTCTCATTGTAAAAAAAAAAAAAANCGTAGAAAATTTCGCATATCAAACAGTCAAAAAAGTGAAAGTAGGAAAATATTTTCCTACTTCCCTGGAAAACTCCGCCAATCAAACGGAGCCTTAAAGAAATTGGAACTATTTGTTTGAAAATCTTTGTCGTTGACCTCACATGGCCCTCGTTTGGGCTCCATTAAATTGAGATTTTGGGAGAAAATGTTTTTTGGAATATTTCTTTTTTGGAGAATATGTGATTAAAAAATAAGAAAAAGTTTTGGATTTACGTGTAAGGAGAATTTGTGGTTGAAGATGAGTTTTGAAAAAATGGAGCCCAAAAAGGAGCATGTTCATTTGAAACATTTGTTTTCATCTCCGAGAACATAAGAATATTCATATCTAAAATTATGTCAATTGTGATCATCTTGGAGACTCTTGCATTCTGTTGTTTTGATTTGCTTAGAACCTATAATGAACTGAAATGGAATTGTGACTTGGACTAAGCTGAAAGAGCCATTTGAAACTAATCAACCCGCCCTTCCTATTTCTCTCAGAAAATTGATAGTCTCTATTTAACACTCTTGCCCCTCTTTCGCCACAGACCACAGACAGGAACATAAGAGAGAGGGAGAAATATCATCCACTTTTATTCATTTCTTGAGGTTTCTTATTCCTTCTTACTCTGCAGATTGGGCTTTCCAAGATTTAATTTTGTAACCACATTGAACCCAGCAAATAACTATGCTTCCCTGGATAAAAAGAAGTTCCTCGTGCACACCCCTACTACATTCACTCATTGCACTATTGTAACGAAATTGATCTTCGTAACATCACCCAAAAGCGTATCAGCATTGCAAAACTAAGTGAAATTGAGTCCAGTATTGCTGAAGAATATAAGCTCAATTTATGAATTGACCTATTTAGTTTTTCAGCTTGTAGTAATTGTTTCCTTTAAGACTTGGTACTAAACAAATTATTTGATGGACAAGTAGTTGAATCTTTATTTGAGATACAGTATACTACTAACTGCCACTACTGCGTGATATCTAAGTACTCAGCAACTCATGTATTTCAGATTCCCTCACTCATTATGGATGGGGTTGAAAACCAACTTTTTTCAAAGATTTCTGTTTACATTATTCCTTTTTCTTCTTACCCTGTTCTTCCAAGGAAATGAAAGGGTTGGAACAAAAGTAAAATAATCACCTAGTCGTGCTAGCTTTCCGTTAATTCAGGAATACTGAGCATGAGCCATCTCTTGCGCAAGTTAGTTGCGGATTTAGTTGGGAAAGAAATAGAGCACTTGATGCGCTTGAATAAATGTACAAATAAGCCCTGAATATTATGTATGAGATGATCAAGCCTTTCCCTTAGGAAGTTCGTATGCAATAGTGTTGGTTAGATTAGTAAGACTTAGTGATCCTTATCGTTTGTCTTTGGTTTCTTGGTTAGATAACAGTATGCTTCTTGGATGGTTGTTATATATGATTGATGTTTTAAATAGGTTAGAAGTTAGAACCACATTCTCTGCAGATACCTTCCACTTTAAGGGTGTGGGGGTGTCAAGGCCCACTCTTAGACCTCTTCAAAGTTGAGAGATTTTTTATCTTTTTCATTTATTGTTGTGCCTAATATCATTTTCCACCATCTTTATGCGTGAAGGCCTTTAATTAACAGCCATTTAGGCCATTTCACACTAGATGGAAAGATTTGGAAAGACGGATCATTCCAAATTTCATGAAGTAATAACCGGAAGTTATGCAAAGTCTTGATATTACTTGCCCCCTTCGTGGATCTATGTACTTTGAGTACTATGTTGAATTTTGATAAGAAAATTGGCATTCTTAAGTTTGTTATCACTTGAAAATTGTTATCATTTATAGACGCTTTAAGAAATTCTATTTTGAATTCACATTTGCAATGGATGGCGACCTATTAGATTGATCTCATGAATTGATCGTTTTGAATGATAATTTATCTTGTAATCTTTTAGGTACAACCAAAATTAAGAATCTCCACGATAATATTGGTGCTCTGAAAGTGAAGCTTACAAAAGATGATTTGAAAGAGATTACTGATGCTGTTCCCATCAATGAAGTAGCAGGGATGAGAAGTTCTGATGAGGTTTTTCATCGGACCACATGGGAATTTGTGAAGACTCCACTCCCAAAATGAACCAGCTAAATGGATAATTATTGAAGGGTTGTGTTTTAAAAAACTGGAGTTTTGGTCGATGCAGTTTCATCTGCATACTTTTAATTCCTTTTATAGTTGTCCAGCTTTCAGTACTTTGTGTGGATGTGGATCACAAGTCATGTATCTCATGGCTATTAAATAATTGAACTTTTTTTTTTTTTTAATTCTATTATATAATACTATGATCATCTTGATAATCAAATTGTTTTCTAGATGTACTATCATTCATTCTGTCTGACTAGAGTTGCTATCTATGTAGCTTGTTAGCTACACTATTTTCGTAAGGAGGTGTGCCGACCTATGGCCGGCCTTTGATCCTAACTTGTCTGGAATTGTGATTGATCCTTGGAGACGACGATGATGAAAGGGGACTCTTGAAGCAATAATCAGCTCGTCCGGTGTTGATCCTCCTCATTGAATCTTCATTAGTCATTAATGGGCTTTCTTATAGCATGTTTGGGCAAGCTTAAAATTCAATTAAAATTGAAAATAGAGTCGTTATTGGGTCCCACTCGTCTAATAAAAGTCAACAATAACGACTAATTTTTCAATTTTAATTCAATTTTAATCTCTACCGAACATGCCCTTAGTCTCAATATGTTATATATGCGAGGTTGGTATAAACATTTCGTACTTAAAACGTGTTCTAATTTAACGTTATTCACGTTTTATCATATATTTAATTATAAAATGACAAAGTAGATGTCACGTTCCATTCATGATGAATAAGCCAAGGGCAGTAAAATGATGAATCATGCTACTTATACAATATTGATTGACAATTTCATACTTGATAGCGTCACAGTTTTCTTTTAAAAATTATTTAAATAATCAACTGTCCGATTTTAACAATACCAAAATTGTCAACAATCAGATAATTTAATTCTAAAATGATACGTGGTTATGTTATCGAAGTTATAGTTTATCCATTAGTGGTGCACTGTGTTTTTTTATTTTATTGTATTTATTATAAAAAGTATATATTATGGAAAAAGAAAAAAAGTGAGACGTTGCGACGATTTGCATCAATCTCAATACCAAAAATCACTCAATTTAAAAATTAAAGTTCCAAAAAAGATTCCCATTGTCTGCCAACACACGGGTGGGTGGGTGGGTCGGTGTCGGTGGACATATTATAATCTCTTCTCCAAACCAAGCGAATAATGGCTCTTTAGCGTGGGGTATGAATATGAATAAAATTCGTGTAATCAATGATTAAATCAGTTTCGACGTCTTTGATCGTAGTTACAAAATTCGACCCTAACGGCTGAATCAGAAAATCGACGATCAGAATCAGTCGAATTACATTATAAGATCAGATAGTCATTGACGTAGTCAAAAACCAAACAAAATTTGATTTAATCGATAGTTTTCAAAAATCGACCAACCCATCAATCGGGTTTCAAAATTAAAATTTCCCATACGGGAGCCAACCACATTATGATGACAAATTTAACACTGCGACAACCATAATTTTAATGTCAACTGATATAAATACTTCAGTTATTTCTAGAGCAAGTTTAGTCATAAAATTATAATTATTTGAGTGGTTAAAATTAGTAATAAGGGTTTTTTTTTTTTTCTCTTTTGAGAATGAGATGGAAATTATTTAGAAATTAAGTAAAAATATGCTTACAAGTATCCTCTAAAAAAAGCATCATAATCATAAATGTATGTATTATAAATAGATAAAAATAAGTGATTGATAAGTGAATAGCACTTATGAACTCTGAATAAGACCGAGTATAAACGTATTATCAAATTGTCATCTCATTGTTTTGAGCGTACTTCATTTAAATTGCACTAAAGATCCATAACTTTCTCATCGTAACGTTTGTGTCCACGGCATTTTTTATCGTATTTTAATCTCAGTTTTCATTAATTAGCATATCATGTTTTCGATGATGATTTCATTCCAAAACTTATGATAAGAAGGCCTAAGAAAACTTATTTGCAACAAACACTCTTGAATAAGAAAAAAAGCAATAAAAATTAAAGTGTGATTAAGTATTTACTCCTTTTAAGTACGAAAACAAAATTTTTGGACGAAATAATGGACAACACAAAGAAAGACCGATAACAAGCAGGAACTTGATACATGTACATCAGAGATCACATATGAGTTATATAATGTCACATAATACTTTATCGTTTATCAATTTAAAGTACAATCAATTTTTTCATTCAATCTTTATATTTCATATCATGAGTGTGTTTGGTAGGGATTTTTAGGAGAAAAATTGATTTTTGAATAGTGATATGATGGGAAATGTGTGGTTNATTGATTTTTAAATAGTGATATGATGGGAAATGTGTGGTTGAAAAAAAAGAAAAAAGTATTGATGTGATGGAAAATATTATTTTATTGAAGAATGTGTGGTTGAAAATGAGAAGTGATTTACTGTAAAAAGGAGAATTGTTACCAAACAGGCTCCATATTATATGTAATTCGTAGCAAAATCGCAACTAGAACATACAAGAACCTTCCCACTGCCAGGCCACATGAGCCCCGACAAAGTGGATAAGCTCATGGATTTTCAATACAACTTGCTTGGGACAGCTGGCTCCCCGCTAATAATAGTTAAAAGACAAAAATGGGACAATAAATGAAGGTAAAATTGCAGCAACGGTTCCAAATCTTTACATTTTTGTAGAATTTATCTTAACATTCACTTTGTGACAGCGGAGGTTCCAAACCTTTGAAAAATTAGCAGCTGGAGTCCAAATCATCTATTTGACCGTTAGTTGATAAAAAAAAGTTAACTTTGACCAATCTTGATCAAATTAAAAGGGGTAAAATAGTAAATTTAAAATTTCGCATAAAATAAATAAACAAAAATAATAATAGAAAAAATCATAGAAAATAAAAAAATGGTTCCCCACCCCACCCCACCCCACTTTTGAAAATTAGCCACCATCATCGCCATCCAACGTCAACACCACCGTCGATAAACACATTAATGCTCTCCTATTTGCAACCAAGAACTTGTAGTTCTCAAACTATCTTCTTTCCCTTCCATGCAACAATTATTGTTCGAGGTAAACACAAACCAAAAAGCCCTAGCACATGCAGTTCATAGCCTCCATGACTGTTCAATTCGGTCAAGAATCTTAGTACCGTAACCCTCAATTTCATCACAACAAAATATCCCAACAAAACCATTTCAATTATGTTGTTGAATCAAAAATAAGATCATTGGCTGCTATACTAGCAAATGAGAAGGAAACTACTGTAATTGAATTTTATTCACCCAAGTTTGGTTTTAGCTTTCAAAAATAAAAACAAAAAGTAGACACATATAGATGTATACAACAAATACATATAGATTGATTCAAAATTTATTTAAAATTAAACAAAAAACAAATATAAATATATACAAATACATATAATATATACATATAATTGCATAAATATACAATATATGCATACAAACGCACGTAAAATTGGTTAAGAAAAATAAATTTGGTCGGAGGCATTTTTCGACGACGGTAGCAGGTGGTTGTGATGGGTTTGGTTTTTGGGTGGGGCTGAGTGGCGTGGGAATGGGGAGGGTTCTTCCATTTTTGTCTTTATTTAATTATTATAATTTTTTTATGTGAAATTTTAAACTTAACATTTTACCCCTTTTAATTTGGTTGAGATTGGTCAATATTAAATTTTTCTTGGTCAAAGAAAGGTCAAATGAATGATTTGGACTCCAACTGCTAATTTCTCAAAGAGTTGGGACCTTCGTTAACACAAAGTGGAGATTAAGACAGTCTGCAAAAAAAAAAAAAATCAAAGATTTGTGACCGCTGTTGAAATTTTCCCATAAATAAGATTTAAGCTTTACTACTCTACTTGGCTAATGTGGAGCCCTCCATGACGTAATCCGTGACATCGGCCCACTTCTCTATATTTATGCGAAATGGTGGAGCTTCAACTCGCTGAAGAGGTACCGTTCTGTTTGAAGAGCTCGAAGAAAATTAGTAATGGCTGAACACTTCGTGATGCCGCGCGTGAAACTCGGAACCCAAGGACTCGAGGTACATGTTAAATTTTCTTAAGTTTCCAATTCGATTCAATTTATAAATCAAACTTACATTTTTTTCGTTTACCGAACAAATCAAGAGATCTGTATGATTCAATGAGTCAACTTTTCGATTGGTGCTTATAACATCCTGAATATAATCAACAATTAAACTACTCTACCAGCCCTCGCATGAGGTGCGTCCTCGCCTCGTTAAAAAAATTTCCCACCCACCCCCATGACTCTTTGGCTCTACCAGATCTTGTACCGATCTGGTAGAGTAGCACGGTCCTATAATCAATCAAGTGCGTAACCTTTAGTATCACAGTGAACCGGGGCGGATCCAGCCAGGGGATCACTGTCTCGGTCCCTGACTGTGAATTTTTGCATAAGATGTTTTACATACTGTCCAGCTACTGTCTATTATATTATTGAAATGTGTCAATTCAGCCCCTGAACCTTTTTTAAGCATATATGGTTATTTAACTTACAAAGTTATTCAGTTAAGCCCCTCGTAGCGTATCTATTACTAAATTTTACTGTTTTGCAGAGGTGATGTTGAGGTGTTTGCTGTGTTGCTTATGTACTGCCGGTCTTTGTAACATGGCATTTTTAATTATAAGCAAGAAAACACTCGCTCTACATGTGATTGTAGCAACAGTCATTTAAATATTTTGACGCTGTTGGTTTAACCCTCAGTTCATTCTAGGTAGATACTGATTTGCCGATATTTGTGCCCTGTATAATTTTGGGTTGCCATAACTTAGCTGGAGACGTGATCAGTGACTTAAATTGAAACAACTTCGAAAGTTCTTTGTCCTTTCATTCTTCAAAAAAAAATTGGATGACTAAAGTGATACATTCTGGAAGTTTGGCCACCAACAGAGCTTTTAACACAAACTTAATGTATTCTAAGATCTCATTGCTTCATCCAATGGCATATGTTTCCTCTTAGGTATCAAGGATAGGTTATGGCTGTATGGGGCTTTCTGGTGTCTACAATAATCCTGTCTCTGAGGAGGATGGAATTGCAATAATCAAAGAGGCATTTAGTAAAGGCATTACCCTTTTTGACACATCGGATGCTTATGGTGTTGACCATTCCAACGAGATCTTGCTGGGGAAGGTATGTACTTTTTGGATATACTTATTCTTGATTATGGCAGTACGTTTGAATTTATATGCTGGCGTGATACTTTTGCTTCTTTTGTCATTGAAAGTTGACTTGAACAACAATAATGATATTCTACGGCGTCAAGCTGATCTAATGAAGCTCCATTTCCTTACTTTAACTCCAGGTTAATGAAAACATTAAGAGGAATTTGTGACAAAAAGAAAGAAAAAAAAGAAGACAGACAACTTCATGTGTCGAATATATATATATATTTGCTTAAAACTTCTTGCGATCAGTTAAATTATTATCGAGCTTATGATTGTGCTAAAGTTTTCCTTCAAAGGTTAGGAATTATGGTTGATATAAGTTCACCTATCGCATCTGTAAATTATACAAAGTTTACAAAGCTAGACAGTAATAAAAAGTTTGAATATGTGAAGACTATCTCTTTTAAAAAAATTATAATTTGGTCTATTATAATTTGGTGTAGATTATTCTTGAAGTTATGTTTAACTTGATATTTCCCATCATGGACTATTATTAGATGACTATTAATTCGAAAACTACTAAATGTAATGCATGAGCATTTCGTGGTCACCTATGAGTTATCTCAAACATAGTGAATTCAAACTTTGCAGGCAGTGAAGCAATTACCTCGAGAAAAGGTTCAATTAGCTACAAAGTTTGGTGTAGCTGGGTTTGATGCTTCTGGAGTTATAGTGAAAGGTACACCTGAATATGCACGCGCTTGCTGTGAGGCCAGTCTCAAGAGTCTTGGTGTGGACTATATCGATCTTTACTACATACACCGAATTGATTCTACTGTGCCTATTGAATACACGGTGAGTTCCTTTTTTTTTTCCCATATAATATTTTACATTTGTTGTTTTATTTGGTCTCGTATGTTCTTTTAGGTTAGTGGCCATTAACCACGTTTTCTCTTGATTTTCACCCATTTTTCTTATCATGGTTTCCACTTCACTAACATTGTGATTACTCTGGTTGATAAAATTATTTTTGAGTTGCAGATTGGAGAACTTAAAAAGCTAGTCAACGAAGGCAAAATAAAATATATTGGATTGTCAGAAGCTAGCCCAGACACAATAAGGAGGGCTCATGCAGTTCATCCTATTACCGCTATTCAAATGGACTATTCCCTTTGGATTCGTGACATCGAAGATGAAATAATTCCACTTTGCAGGTTGCTAATTTTTCTCAAATATTTATTGTTATCTGTCCTGTTTGAATATTATAATCTCATAGTGTTTCTTTTTGTCTTTTTGGAAATTGATTATAGGGAACTTGGGATTGGAATTGTTCCGTACAGTCCCTTAGGTCGAGGATTTTTTGCTGGGAAGGCCGTGGTGGAAACTGTGGAAAATAACTCATTGGTGTGTATCATCTATATCTTTTTATTTTCAAGGCATAATATCTTCTTTAGTATCCTAGATCGTTTAGTGGTTTCTTCAATTTTTAGTCTCTAATTGCTGAAAGTTGTGTAATTTTCTTGCCCTCAGGCAAGTCACCCGAGGCTTCAGGGAGAGAACTTTGATAAGAACAAAGTCATATATTTTCGTATGGAAGCATTGGCTAAGAAGCATGGATGCACTCCTGCTCAACTTGCACTTGCATGGGTTCTTCATCAAGGGGATGATGTTGTACCAATTCCGGGTAAGCCAATCATATAAGAAGCTTTGCTTTAAATATTGTAATAGAAACCATGTCGGACAAATTAGAAATTTAGAGCATTAAAGAAATTGGAAATATCTGTTTAGAAAACTTGCCATTGAGCTCACATTATATTCACATTGAAACTTTTCTTTCGTCCTTGGTGAGTATAAGAATATTCATATCCAGAAGTATGTAAACAGAGATCATCTTGGAGATGCGTGCACTCGGGTGTTTTGATTAGTTTAGATCCTCAATAATGTACTGAACTGGAATTGTGACATGGACTAAGCTGAAACAGCTATCTGAACTTATTAACTGGGCCTCTTCGTGCCAATTCAGCTATGTTATGTATTGGGCAAAGGGAATTTTGGAGATTTAAAGCTCCCTTGTCAATTTGGTGGGGAGTAATAATACGGTAACCCCCTTCAACACTCTCCCGTTTCTCTCAAAAGTGGAAGTCTATTTCAGACTCCTGCCTCTCCTCCACCATTGAACACAAACAGGCACACAGAGGGAGGGAGAAACATCTACCCCTTCTCTTCATTTCTTGTGGTTTCTTATCCCTTCAAACCGTGCAAACTGGGCTTTCCAAGACTTATTTTGCCATCACATTGAACTCAACCAATGGCTAAGCGTCCCACCTCTACATAGACAGGTGTGAGGAGTGTTAATTTTGCTTCCACAGATTTCTGGAGCTAGTGTAACTAAATAGATTACTCAAACAAAATTCAATGTTTGTAATGCCAGAGAGATCACCCACAAGTGTATAACAATGCAAGACTAAGAGTAAAGTGGGGCAAGATGTTTTGCTGAAGAATATGAGCACAGTTCATGACGTCTACGAACTGTTTAGTTCATCAGCTTGATCATTTATCGCACGAAATCTGAAAACACCAAACAAATTATTTACTGGACAAGAAGCTGAATCCTTATTTGTGATAGAATAGACCACCAACTGCCACTACTTGTGATACCTAAGTACTCAGCAGCTCATGAATTCCAGGTACCCTCACTCATTAGGGATGGGTTTGAAAACCAACATTTCTTCAAAGACCTTAGTTATGTTATTCCTTTTCTTTTTACCCTGTTCTTCCGAGGAAATGAAAGGGTTAGAACTAGAGTGAAAAAATAACTTATCTGCTCATGCTAGCTTTCTGTTAATTTGGGATCTGTGAGCAAGAGCCATCTAAAGCATATAAGGCCTATATTAATAGCCATTTTCGCCATTTATTCCTGGATAGAAAGATTTGAAATGATGGATCATGAAGTGAGATTAAATCATAACTAGTTTAGGGTATAGATCATTCCACTTTTCATGAAATAATAACACAAAGTTAGGTCAAGTCTCACTTTCCTCAGGGATCTACATTCTTTAGTATTATTAGGTAGATTTTGATAAGAAATTGGTACAAGTCTGTTATCTCTGGAAAATTGTTTTCATTTGTGGATGCTGTAAGAAAGTTTCCTAGAAATCGCATATGCAACGGATGGTGACTGAAATATAGTTGTTCTTAATGATAATTTATCTTTCAATCTTGTAATATTTATAGGTACGACCAAAATTAAGAATCTCCACTCCAATATTGAATCTCTGAAACTGAAGCTTACAAAAGATGACTTGAAAGAGATCACCGATGCAGTTCCGATCAATGAAATAGCAGGGTCGAGAAGTTCTAATGAGGCTTTTCATAAGATCACATGGGAATTTGTGAAGACTCCACTCCCAGAATGAATCGGCAAAATGGATAATTATGTGTGCTATGTTTTGAATAAACTGGAGTTGTATCGGTATTTGACGCAGTTTCGTCTTTGCATATTTTTAATTTCCAGTTATCCAACTTTCACTAGTTTGTGTGGATGTAGATTACAAATGATACATCGCATGGCTATAAAATAATTGGACGTTTGTGTTTTTGTTTTTCGTCTGTTTTATAACATACTATGGCCGTCTTGATAATCAAATCGCTTTCCAGATGTACCATCATTTTGTCGAGTTGCTCTCTATGTAGCTTGTAGATACAAGCAGTAGAAGACAAGACTGAAAAAAGAAACCCTAACGGGTTCTTTGAGTTTATTTGTTCAAACAGGAGAATTGTAGTGGTGGTGGCCCGTGGCCAACCTTTTTTTTTTTAAGACTGTTAAGACAACTTCATCACAATTCTGGTATATGCTAACGGCATTTTTGTTAAGTTAGATATTGGATGTTATTTGAAGGCATATTATGCTAGATATTAGATGATGGTTTGTAGCATATTTGTAGCAGGTTAATAAAGGTTGAAATGTGTATTTGGTAGTATATTTTTATGTCTTCTATTTCTGCTAGATATGGGGAAAGATAATTTGTATCGTCAAAATCGAACTCAAAAGTCATATTGACAGTTGGATTCTAGTAATTACGTACTTGAATGAGATTTTATATTATGAAATATCGAAGTGTAATGAGTAATTTCGGGTATTAAAATACCTGGATTGATCCAACATGCGCCTGATTACTCGGATCCAGTTGATGTGCATTTTCTCAATTGAACCTCCAAACGACAAAAAAAATTAAAAACAGAAGTCTGGTAAAATTGTGACAAAGAAGCTGACTTTTATATCCTTTGGCTTTCACTATATAGTATTTCTAAAGCATGTTTGGCTAATGCTTATAAGTTTATTTTAAGAATAAGGCGAGAATAAGGCTTTAAGTCACTGGAACTTGAAGAGGAGCTGCTTAGTTCAAAAAAGCTACAATTTCTTAATTCAGTTTGGGATTTGATTCAATCCATAGATAATGTTATGTTCTTCAAAAAATGTATCCTTAAATCTCATTGCTTTATCAATGACATGTTTTTCCTCTTAGATTTCAAGGTTAGGTTATGATTGTACGGGGCTTTCGTGCCTACAATAATCATGTCCCTGAAGAAATTGGGGGACTTTTTTTATGCTCGAAATTAACACCCTTGTAATACGAAAATGAACGAATTTATTAACTAATGCTCTTTCATTGTTTCCTTTGAAGGGTAGAATTAATGTGTGGTGTTGAACAAATAGGTGTAACTCTCCAAGACAGTGTCCAGATCGTTACACCTTTGTACGGGTCAGAACTTACCTGACAAGGAATTTACTTCAAATATTTTTCAATTGAATTTAATCTCCTAGAAAGAGAGAATTTCTTAGTATCAAGATCAAACCTTATTTCATAGTATTTACATGAAGTTCCTCTTTGAGAAAGTCCCCGAGATGGCTTAGGAGATCAATGATTTATGATTGTAGAAGTTGAATTAGCCGCCATATCCCATTTTGTGGATGTAACACTTACCGGCCTTTACTTCATAAATTCAATCAATTGGGAAATTGCTAGAAAAATGAAGACACATTCATGTGATTTTACATGTAGGCTCCGTTTGATTCGCCTTATTTTCCATTTTCCAACTTTTGTAGTGTTTGATAGGCAAAATTTTTCCGGAAAATTTTTTTCTACCTTTTCTCATTTTCCACATTTTTGAGGAAAATAAATTCTTGATGTTTTGGTGGGAAAAAAATTTCCAGTTTTTTTTTTTTTTT